CCCCCCCGCTCGACGAGAGTTTCCCTCGGAAACAAAACAACGCGGCAAAGAACTTCGGAGTGAGATCGAAGGAAAGGGGAAATCTGGCAATACGTGGATCAGTGGGGGTGCTTAATTGTGCTTGGGTTTTTTAAAAAAGGCTTTGCCACGTCAAAGCAAACCCACCGTTTTAGTGGCAGAGCCGTTTTTTGAGACTGGGACGCTGTCCCGAGTCCCCCCCCGCCCTCCGAAAGGGCCGCGATCCCACCTCTCCCTGCTGCTGGAAGGCTTGTCAAACTCCCCGCTTCCGTCTCCACCAGATCCTTTCTGCAGGTCGCTGTCTGAGCGATTCTTGCTCTGTTTCTCCTGAGTGACCTCACATGCTTCGTTACTAAGTGAGAAGCTGAGTTATTTTGACTTTGGACGAGGATTTCTGTGCGTCAGAATTTCCATCGCCAAAAGCATCCTTTCTCTGCACCTGCTGCAAGATTTCACCTCTCAACCCCTTCCCATGAGGCATGGAAGAGGTGCGTGTGGGCATTTTATTTCCAAAATGACCTAAATGGACACCCCCACACCCCCAAGCCATTCCAGGCGAAGAGTGTGACCTTCCAAGAAATGGACTTTATCACGTAAAAGGAGGCCAACAGGTGAAAAAGAAGAAGAAGACCCTTGGCAAGCAGCAGGAGTCTGGCCACGTCATTGAATGAAGGAAGCCCTCCCCATCCCCGGCACCGGAACTGCGCGATTCGGTGCCCCCCCGCATCCAAGAGAGAGGGGCTCCTCCCTACATTCGCGCCTCGCCGTCGATTTAACCTCGCTGGGCCCCGTTGGCCAGACCAGTCGGATGCCCACTGGAAGCCAGGGGGGGGGACTGTCCTTGGGCGGGCCTCCAGGGCCGCGACAGGAGGAAGCCGAGAGCGCCGGGCTGCAGCTTCTCTCCGCGCCTCCCCCACTCGCTGCCCCTCGAAGTTTGGGAGGAGGGCGGAATCCAGCCAGTGGCTCCCTGTTGGGATTCTTTGATTCAGGGTCGATGGTTGTATTGCAAACACAAGAGCCACACTTAGTAAAAGAAAAATATCTTTACTATAAACCAAAATAAAACATAGGTATGGTACTTTGGATAAAAGAAATAAAATAAAAAGTTACATACTTGCCATTACTCTCAGTAATATATGCTAACAGCTAGATCTTTCTATGTCTCTTGGCTTCTAGAAGAGAACTACCGCTTTGGTTCACACAAAGGGCCATAAACTTGTGAATACATGAATGCTAGATCAAAGCATTTCTACAAACAAGATGTTAGTTGACCAATACAAAGGTTACAGGTCACTTCATTAGGATAAACAACTCCCACAGACTTTCCAGCCGTTGTAACATCCTGTTTGCTAACAAACAACACTTAACTCTGTAATGACTGAAGTGTGAGCAATTTGCAATTCCAACACTCCCAGCCTCTCTGCGGCTCCCCGCCGGGCTCAGCACGGGTGCGTAAAGCCAGGCCTGCCCGCTGGGCACCAAGTCCGAGCCAACTCGGGAGACACAGGGCGGACTCACTGCAGACGGCCTGCGGGGCAGCCAGACACTCGCCCGGAGTCCCTCCTGCTAGTTTGGGACACGGCTTGACCGAGGGCAGCGCGTCGTCTTCCTGGAGGCGAAGCCAGAGGTTGGCCCGCCGGTTCCTCCCGAGGCCAGAACTTGACGGGGAAGACCCGGCGACGTCCGCCTCCTGGGCACTCCGCGCAACTCCCAAGCAGAGGGGGGGGACCCCTGGCCAGCTTTGCCCGCTCTGAGAGCCCCCTCCCCCCTTCAAGTGGCCTCTCCCGGAGGAGCTGGTGCAGGAGGGGGGGAGAGAAGCTTGAAGCGCCGCCCCCGGCGCGGAGGGGCGGGGCGGTCGGCGGAGGCAAGGGAGCCCGCCCTCGGCCCGCGGGGCTGTAGTCTGGCTCGGCCGCGGAGGGGCGCGGAAGCTCTCCTCCGGCCGGCCGGGATGCTGCTGGCCCGCGCGGGCTGCTGCCGTCGCTGTCGCTGCGCCCGAGCCGGGCGGCCCCGCTCGCTATGAACGGCTACGGCTCGCCCTACTTGTACATGGGCGGCCCGGTGGCCCAGCCGGCCCGGGCGCCCCTGCAGCGGACGCCCAAGTGCGCGCGGTGCCGCAACCACGGGGTGCTGTCCTGGCTGAAGGGCCACAAGCGCTACTGCCGCTTCAAGGACTGCACCTGCGAGAAGTGCATCCTCATCATCGAGCGGCAGCGCGTCATGGCCGCCCAGGTGGCCCTCCGCCGCCAGCAGGCCAACGAGAGCCTCGAGAGCCTCCTCCCGGACACCCTCCGCGCCCTCCCCGCCGCCGCCGCCGCCGCCGGGAACCC